TCACCAACTCAGTAGTGAAACCTGAATAAATGTTGAAATTGGCCAGATGGGTGATTACTTCTAGATATGGGTTAGTAAGCAACCAATCAAACCATCTGAAGCAAACTGAGTCATTTGTTTACACGATCCATTTATTTATTCATCTTCTCATTCAGCAAATACAGGAAAAGCTAGCAAGTGCCAGGCATAATTTAAATTGCCACCAAGTGTGACCTGTAATTGAGTTATAAGGCTAGTGGGTAGGTTTACCCCAGGAATAATACCTCTAAATTTAAGAAAAAGAAGAAAGAAGGAAAGAAAAAGAAAGGAAGGAAGGAAGAAAGAGAGAGAGAAAGAAAGCAAGAAGAAAGAAAATAGATCTTCCTGAAACACTGGAAATTAGTCAAGGGCAAGGCACAGAGCCAGGTGGAGAGATGGCTAACATGATCAGATGCTGCCAGTCTGAGCATAAGTCAGGAAAACAATGGGTGCACCTGTGTGCCTACCATAAAGCCATTCCTTGAGTCTATTAAAATGCATGCTCTGAATGAAGAGACCCCTCAAACAGGCTTTGTGTGAGCAATTCACCCAGGTGCGGGTGGGATGAGGCCAAAAAGGGAGTCAGCAAAGGGCGGTGGGACAGGAGTTGGTTCTATAGGTTTGGGGTGGGCAGTGGAAAGTTACAGAAGTTACAGTTTAGGGTGGTTTTTAGCAAACTGGGAGGGGATAGTAGGTTTGCAAGCTGGGAGGGTGCCATAAGGTGTGAAGTCATGAGGTTGACCAAGGTTGATTACAAAGTCCAATGGCCTTATCAATTGGGGTGGAAGAATTGGCAAGTTCCTTGCCACTGAGGACCATCTAACCACTTTAAAAGAGAGTTGAGGGCGGCAGCTTGGGGATAAAACCATGAAATATCGGCAGTAATTGCCTGAAGGAAAAGTGTAAACAAAAGCAAGGTGTGTAAAAGTCAATGAGTACAGTGAATTTCAGCACTGTTAGACAGAAAATAATAGAAAGAGACTTTCTGAGGTGTGGTTTAAGTAGTAGAGGTGACTGCATTAAACAGTGGTGTTAGGAAAAAGATGCCTAATGAAATTAAAGGTATGTTGGGTTTATATAGGGTTACTCTTCCAGTTCAGGGATGCGAGTGAGTTTAAGAGAAGTCAGGGAGAGTACTTGCGACTTCCAGAAGGAGGCAGAGGAGTCAGGCCGATTGTCTGATGGACACAGCTTTATCCTGGAATGATGGACCCACTGGGGAGGGGCTTGTAGACAGACAGCAGTTTCTTCCCTTGTGGACATTTCTGTACGACCGTCACAGCACAGCAGCTGGCTTCCCCCAGAATGAGTGATTGTGGGAGCAGGGCTGGCCCAATCCAGTCAGAAGCCTCACTATCTTTGTAAACCATAACCTATTCTCAGTAAAATGCCGTCCACTTTGGGAGGCTGAGGTGGGCAGATCACTTGAGGTCAGAAGTTTGAGACCAGCCTGGCCAATATAGTGAAACCCCATCTCTACAAAAATATAAAATTAGCCAGGCATGGTGGTGCATGCCTGTAGTCACAGCTACTTGGGAGCCTGAGGCAGGAGAATCACTTGAACCCAGGAGGCAGAGGTTGCCGTGAGCCAAGATCGTGCCACTGCACTCCAGCCTGGACAACGGAGCGAGACTCAGTCTCAAAAAAAAAAAAGCAACAAGAAGTAACATACCATCACTTCTGTTGCCTTCTCCTGGTCACACAGACTGACCCTGACATGTGGGAGGAGTCATCCTAGAGACTGGCAACCACAGCCCATGCCTTGGCCACCAGCGATTCATGATCCTCTGCATGATAGACACACCCAACCTTCCTCAAATCTTCCCCTTCCTCCCCCAGGCAAATCTTATCTCCATCACAGAATCAGCTCGAAGTCCAGAATCTCCCTCTCAAAATCAGATCCAAGTGTGGAAGAAGTTCCTCAGGTGTAGTTCCTTAGACAGAATTCTCAATCTGAAGGCCTGTGACATAAAGAGACCAAGATGTCTATCTGTCCCACACACACCCAACATTGGTGTAACAGGCAGAGGATAACTGTATAAACATTCTTGTTTCGAAAGAAGAAACATGGGAGTACAAGGGAGTTATGATCCATAGCAGTCCCTCTGGGCAATGGTGGGAGTCCTGTGCTCAGGACTCAGTCCTACACTGCCCAGAAATAGCTCCGTAGCTCTTAATTCCATTTTCTGGGCTCTTGGATCCCCCTCTGAGTCATCTTCTATTTGTTTCATGACAGGTACTATGTATGGTTTTCTCAGCTTCTTCCTAACAAGAAATTAGAGGTCCGAAGTTCTTTCTTCTTTGTGAACTATCTGTATCAGTTCAAGCTACAGGTGTTTCTGCTGATGCAATTCTCTTCACATTGTGGGTCTCACGTGAATCTCACTGGGGTTTACTCCATTAGACAAAAGTGACACCCACAATTCTCTTCAATGTAAGTCCTTCTCTACTTTGGATTTCTGCTGAGGAACAGCCCCGTTAAACATTATAGAAGCTCTCTTGTGTGGTGAAGAGGATCTGAGAAACATACATTTAAAAATTTAGAGGGCCTTTTGTCTGGTTTAATGATATTCAGAGGCACCATCTTTGATCTTTCTGAGGTCTTAACAAAGGATTTTTTAGTCGCACATTTGGCTTTGTCTCTGAACTACTCTTCTGAGAGTTTCCTGTGTTTGATCTTTGCTCAGAAGCTGTTTCTTAATTTTAGCATCAGTTGCCATCTGAAGGGGCTTGGAATCTTCAAAAACGGCAAATTTTGGCTCCTTTTCCTTCAGGGTATCTCTCTTCTCCCATATTTTGCTATAAGCAACAAGGAGACACCAGGCAGCACCTTCAACTCTGCCTTCAACAACATCCTTGGCTTGACCACCTAGTTTGTTAAATCATCTCCTAACTCTTGAATTACTGCGTGCAGCAGTGTCGCTCACCTTTCCACCTCTGCATAACAAAGATCCCGTTTTCTCTCGAATCCAATCAAATATTCCTCACTTTCCTTTATGGCCCCACCAGCAGCCTCAAATGCTACCGGCAGCCTGTCCCAAGCAATGTAGACTTTCATGCCCCCCAACTACTGCCCACTGCCTGGTTCAAAAGACACTCATGTTTTAGACATGTGTTGCAGCAGTGCCCTACTTCCACACACCAACATGAGGATTAGTATTGCTGAGTAACCTCAACACAGAGCAGCTAGAGATAACAAATGTTTCTGTTACAAGGTTTCTGAGTCAGGAATCTGGTGGGTGGTGCTGGTCAGGGTTTCTGGTAAGACTGCAATCAAGCTATCAGCTGGGGCTGCAGCATCTGCATGCTTGGCTGGGGCTGGGGACCATGTGGTTGCTGGGAGGAGGCTTCAGTTCCTTGCCACGCAGTCTTCTCTATAGGGCTGAGCATGAAATGGAAGCTGATGTCCTTCAGAGAGGGTATTCCAAGGAGCAGGGGAGAGTGAGGAGAGCAAGACGGAAACGGAGTGTGTTCTGCAACCTAAGCTCAGAAGTGACATGCCATCACTGATACAGCATGGGCGGTGACACGCAAAGACGCTAGGGAAACTGGAGGTCCTTGGGGGCCAGGTGGCAATCATGCTAATTGCTGACACCTGCTCTTACTGCCAAGCCCCCACAGCAGGCCTCCAACAGGCCCTCGAGTCTGCTCAGAACTTGTCTCAGACAGATCCACTGTTAATATCAAGGGGCTGGGCAGCTTCCTCCTGTGAATGCCGTACACATAATTTTAATGTAGCAATTCACCTTTTAAATATACCTGTAAACTATTGTCTCCACTTTATTGCCAGAGGACAATGCTCTCTGTGGACTTTACATGGTGGGGAGGCCTACCTAGATAGATACGTAATTTTCTACCATTACAGCAGCACACACCCGACTCTGCAGTCTGATTAATGCTTCTGAATTTAATTTGGGATTAACTTATTGTTGGAGGGAGCCATTCTGATAGCGGCACCACTGTGTGCTCCTTTTACTTTTGAGTACAAGAGTCCTGGCTAGTCCTGCATCAAAGTGCTATGTGGGAACATACACCATAAGAGTCTTCTTGGCTGGGCATGGTGGCTCATGTCTGTAATCCCAGCACTTGGGGAGGCCGAGGTGGGAGGTTCACCTGAGTTCAGGAGTTTGAGACCAGCCTGGCTGACATGGTGAAACCCTGCCTATACTAAAAATACAAAAAAATTAGCAGGTTGTGGTGGTGCATGCCTGTAGTCTCAGCAACTGGGGAGGCTGAGGCGCAAGAATCACCTGAACCTGGGAGGAGGAAGTTGTGGTTAGCCCACATCGCGCCAGCCTGGGGGACAGAATGAGACTCAGTCTCAAAAAAAAAACAAAAACAAAACCTCTTCCCAAGGCACAGGTGCTGAAGAGGTTCTGTTCTTCATTCAGCTCTCCAGAGAGGAACATGAGGGTTCTTTCTGGGGCTTGTTCATGCAAGGAGACCTCGTCCTGGATTCAGCTGTCCCCTGCCTCTCCAGGTCAAACCCTTCAGACAAGGAGCCAGGGGCTTCTCTGTGGATCTAGGCAGGTGAGAGGTCCCAGGCCTGTGTGGGGAGGAAGACCTCTGTTAAGACAACCTGTGGGAGTCCACATTCTTTGGGGAAGCTCCTATACACACTGCAGGGAACAAGGGAGTTGGCGTAGCCCATGAAAATATTAGTTTTTAATTTTCTTGATTTTTTTTAAGACCATAGAAGTATTACATGTTTGTTGACATATATAAAGTATAAATTCTTACATGAGAGTATAATATTCTAGCCTTTTTTCTATGTGTGTGTATGCATATATGTTTATATAATTCTGAAATATTCTCTTAGCAGATATTTACTTATGCTGGGGATATAATCACAAAAGAATCAGACATTATAGAGCTTACATACTTAAATGGAGAGAAAAGGAGCCTAATAAATGAAAAGTTATGTAAGCTATTAGAAGGAGCTAAGTGTTCTGGGGAAGTTAAGCAGGGAGAGGAAGAAGGAAAGGCAGAGTGAGAGAGGATTAGTTTTGAATAGAATGATTATGAAAGGCAGCACTAAGAAGGTAACGTCTGAGCAATGACCTGAAGGAACAAACCATGTAAATACCCAGGGCAAAAATCATTCCAGGCAGCAGGAACTACAGGCGCAAATGTCCTGGGGCAGAAACACATCTGGTGAGTTCAAGGACCATTAACGATGGTATGCCTGGAGCAGAGAAGGCTGAGGGGAAGGAACAGGAAGAGAGAGTCAGAGGGTGTTGGGTGGCAGGAAAGGGGAGGCGTTTGAAGAGCCTTGTATTTCACTCTGAGAGAGACGGAGCGCCGCTGGGAAATACGAAGCAGAGAAACAACATGATCTGACTTCGGCTTTAAAAGGATCACTGTGCCTGCAGGTGACCACAGACTGCAGGAAGGCAAGGCAGAGGCAGAGACCAGTGAATTTAACCTTGTGGGCTCAGGTACAGAGGAGGTGGGAGGTCATATTTGAGCAGGGTTGGGATTAAGCTGAATGAGACAAAGTGAAAAAGAGACAAAGGGACTGAAGGTAGTGAAAGAAAGGGAAAATGATTGGCACTATGGCCCATTTGCACTGGGAAAGAGGGAAGTGAGGCTGAGGAGAGGGAGAAAAGATGGTGGAAACATGGATTAGAAGGGGTATCTAAATGGTGGAAGGTGTGCATGGGTTATACGTTTGAAATGGATTAAAAAGTTAATGGAATCAGAGAAAGAGAGGAGTGCGTGGGAAAGATAAGCTGGGGTCACTGAAGAATGGAACACCCCAAATTAAGACTCAAAATAGCATTGCAGTTTTTGGTAATGTCATCATTGACTATGAGCTGAGGTGGGGAGGAGAACTTAAATTCAGGAGGAAAGGAGGTCAAAAACTAAAAGACCAGATTGTAGAAGGATTCCAAGTGTGGATAGAGTTGGCTAGGAGCTCAAATGTCCAGGAAAAGGGAGCTAATAACCTTAGGGTAGGAATTCGATGGCTGCAAAGAGATCTAATCATGAATTCTAGTGGTTCCAGCTTTAAAGATGGAGGATTTTAGGGAGCACAGAGGGAGAATGGTCTGCAAGCCGGGAAGACTCGACCTGCTTCCAGACCTGGGGCACTCATTTGATACATACTGCTCTACAAGCCATAGGCATAATTAATGTCACAGTTTGTTTTTATAGCTGCTTCATTTCCCGTTTCATGGGTGTCTCATGAAAGATGCATTTCACTGTATCCTCTTGAAGGTCACTTGGGTTGTTTCAAATTTCCTCTTGTCATTAAAAGCAAACCTGGAATTTCCACCTTTGTTAATAATTACAGTGCCCATTAAGGCCAGACAAATAAGGAGCAGGAACCTGGGGCCTCTGAATTGCCCACTGCCCACTGCCCACTAACCGCTGGGCTGAGAAGGTACAGCCTGCTTGCAGCCCTGTGCCCTGATGGGGACACCTTGCAATCCAGTTTAATGTCCCACATCCTCCTTTATTAGGGCTCACTTTCTTTAGAACCCTGCCCAGGGGTCTCTAGAGAGACTGGGGGTGTTGTTCCTCTGTTTGGGGCATGACGATTTGTGCAGGAGAAAGGCTGTGTGACAACCCAGGGAATTGAAAATATAGGACATCTGCCAACCTCCTGGTGGACACCTGAGAGGGAGTGGAAAGGACTGACTTCAGGCCACAAACCCAGCATTTTGTGAAGAGAAGGACAAATTCACATCTCAGCATCTTGAAAGAAAACCCCAGACATGGAAATGAATCCGTCTGATTGGGAGAAGCCGTGGTTGCCAGCTAGGACCCAGGTTCTAGGGCTGCTTCTGCCGCAGTCTCTCCGGAGACATTGAGCAAACTTCCTACTCTTCTCAGAGCCTAGGTCTCCATCTCTAAATTAGAAACTAAGATTCAGAGGATGCAGCACCATTGAGAGGGAGCCAGCCAGAGCCAGCTTTCTAGCCAGGGACCCTGAGTTTCCTCAGTAAAGACCTTACTGGAAGCTGTTTCCTGGGGTGTGAAATGGGGACCTTAGGTACCTCTTTCCCACCCAGGTTCACAAGCTTTTACCCAAAGCGTTAAGCATTTTCAGAACCGAGAACATTGCAGTTCTGGAAGAGTAGCAGCTTCACCTGGCATTTTACATGACGCCCTGGCAGAGGGCTGGCACCCATCCCCAAACTCAGGAATATGCTTCAGGGAAATGTGTACATGTTCACTTCCAGTGGGGTCAGTGAAAATGAGAAATAGCCTCACGTTGGGTCAGCTCAGACTTTGCTTTCCAAGGAGCTATGGAAAGACTTCTCTGGCATAGAAAAGGCAATGGCAGCAGACCTGGCAATGGAGAGAAGGCATCCACAGAACGTGGGGGCCCTGGGCTCCTGCTCCTCTCAGCTAGCACGTGCCCTGAGCAAGAATGCAAATGTGAAAATGCCACATCTAACACTTGTGTGTGTTATCTTCCTCTCGAGGAAAGCACCTGTCCTCAGAATGAGCCCAGAACACCTCAGGGTGCCCTGATCCCCTGCCTGCCCAGGGGCTCCCACCTGGGCTTCTGGAGGGGACAAGGTATCCATCTGCCTGTTGCCTCTACTTGTTCCCATGCAGCAGCCTCCTGAATATCACAGTGACATGACCCCGCTCTCTTCTGAACCCGCATGCAGCACAGGGAGCCAGGAAGACCTTGATTCCTCACATGGCTCTTTTGCTCTTGGTCTGAGATACACTCATCAAGGGCAGTCACAACTCAGGCTTGCATGACACCTCCTGGCATTTTGCCAGTGAAAGGGACTGCAGCTGAATTGCTTCTTGGTAAACCATAGTGCCTGCCTTTGGATTCCAATACTGACTCCACTACCTATAAGGTGGCTTCGATTCCCATCTGTAGTGTGGGGGCGATAATGGCTGACATTCAGTGTGGTTTCATCAGCTCATGCACATAGAATGAACAGCACAGTTCTTTCTCATGGTGCCCGCCCCCCCGCCTACAAATCAATGTTAGTTTTCTTTCCTCTTTGAGTCTAAATGAACAGGAACCACATTTCAGTTAACTCACTTTCATCATTTGTTTAGAAGTCTTCTAATTCCTTTCATGCTATTTTTAAATGGGTTTAAAAAACTATAACCATTAGGGCAACATAACGTTCTAAAGAGATACTTGGAAACTGTTTTAGAACTAATGTATCCCTCAGACACCTTAGTGAGGGAGACTTCGTCCTGGTAGCCTTTTGCATTGATCGTCTCAGCATTTGCCTTAGAAAGCTTTCAGAAGTAGATGTTATCATTTTTGTACAGGACACTAACAAGTGAAAAAAAAAGGCAGGTGCATTAGTTTTCTCTGCTATCTGCGCACGTTGAGTCACCAGCTGAAGACAGAGGTAAATGGGCTGTGGAGGGCCTACCTCACTCTCCAGGGAAGCTCCTGTTGCTCTGGCTTGTTCAGGTCCCCAGCTCAGCGGGCTTCTGTATGGTGGGGGCTCTGGCATCCTGACATCGAGTGATGAACAGAGGTGGCCATCTCTCCAGAAACTTATGTAAAGAAAGGCTCTTGCTGGGGACAGAGGAGAAAAGGGGTGGTAGGGCCACCCAGGGCTCTCATGGACATGAGTGAACCTCTTACTCTCACGGACATGAGTGAACCTCACCGTTTATGTCACTACTTGCTGTTTCCGAGTCTTGGTTTTGTCATCTATAAAATAAAGATAATACCATCTACCTCAGAGGGTTCTTTCAAGTTAGCATGCTCATGTAATACCTGGCATGTAACTGCACATTATTATGGAGGTGTTGCTTACAGCTAGAAGACAGGAACCTCCAATTCAGAAGTCCAGAATGTTTCTTTGGCAGGATCGATCCAACCTAACTGCAGAAGGATTTCCATGTGACTGATACTGAGGGTCACTTTCTAGCTTTCAGCATCAGCAGGATTTCATTAGTTCCCAAGGTGGTCCCCATGAAGTGAGCTGGAGGCAGTGAAAGGGCGGAGTCACCAACATACCTGTCACCACCTTAATGAAGTCTTCATTAGAGGTGGCATGCACTTTGTTCTCAAGTCTAAATGGACTTTTGCATGTGGATGAATATATATACTTGCCACCCTAATGAAACAATTTGCATGGAAATGCTTTGAACAGAACAACACCGACACATTCATACCCAGGGAAGACGTTGTTTTTACGTGCGGACACGCTGACCTGTGAATAGCCAGACTGGTGGTGCACTGTGCTAGCAGATAGTTTGTGTCTCGCCACCTCTTTCTGGTTAGAGACGCTTCGTTTTTGTCCCCAGCCACGCCTACGTGCTCTAAGTGGACTTAACTGATCTTTCAAAGCTTGGCCTCCAGTTCTTATCAGCTGGACTTGCTGGGTGTATTCGTCAGAATAGATGTAAGCCTGCTCCAATATCATTTAGCTTCCCCATGTCTCTGTGTACAATGAATGTTTATTTGTCATTCACATCCAGCCTGATGCAGGGCAGGGGCCCCTTCTGTGCGCTCTTGGTCCTGAGCCTCCCTTGCGGTAACCAGTGCTGCCCTCGCTTCCATGGGGGGTGCAGCGACCTGGCCCAGCTGCAGCAGGCTGGGAAATGGAGGGCTGGCATGGTATTTGGTGAGCCCCAACATCTCAGACACCGGCATTGGCAAAACTAGACTGGGCTGCCTTTCTTCCAGCAACATCTTCCTGCTAAATGTGCATCTACATGTATCACATTTCTAGCGGAGACGCAAGAGGGCCTGCTGCCCCATCCTTCATGGGCTGGCTGTACTCACGTGGTATTGTCCTGTGGTTACAACGTGAAAGGCACACCCTGGGTGAGGTGCCAGACTCTCCTCTGGGCTGTAATGGGCATTCTCATTTCTGTTTTTGCAGACTTTGCAGCCCACAAAAAATACATGTGTGGCATAGTTCACTGATATACTTTCTACAGAAATGTATAAGTATATACACATAACAGACCTACAGCTTCAGAAATTAGTGTTATACTCTATTATATTTCTTTTGATCTCTCATTCTCATTTCTGCTATTGTAGGCTTTACAGTGTACACAAGACATGTGTGCCACTGTTCATTGATAGAAATATATAAATATAATGGACCTATAGTTTCAGAAATTTTTAATAATAAAAATTATGTTCAGAATGAAATGGAGATGGCTATTTTAGAGGTCAAAGAGGTAACTTCTTGACTGACTAA